CTGTCCCTGTCCCTGTCTCTGTCTCTGTCCCTGTCTGTCTGTCTCTGTCTCTGTCCCTGTCTGTCCCTGTCCCTGTCTCTGTCCCTGTCCACAGTCCCTGCTGTCTGTCTCTGTCTCTGTCTCTGTCCCTGTCTCTGTCCCTGTCTGTCTGTCTGTCTCTGTCCCTGTCTCTGTCTCTGTCTCTGTCCCTGTCTCTGTCCCTGTCTGTCTGTCTGTCTCTGTCTCTGTCTCTGTCTCTGTCTCTGTCTCTGTCTCTGTCCCTGTCCCTGTCTCTCTGTCTCTGTCCCTGTCTGTCTGTCTCTGTCTCTGTCTCTGTCCCTGTCTGTCTGTCTCTGTCTCTGTCTCTGTCCCTGTCTGTCTGTCTCTGTCTCTGTCTCTGTCTCTGTCCCTGTCCCTGTCTCTGTCCCTGTCTGTCTGTCTCTGTCCCTGTCCCTGTCTCTGTCCCTGTCTGTCTGTCTCTGTCCCTGTCCCTGTCTCTGTCTCTGTCCCTGTCTCTGTCTGTCTGTCTCTGTCCCTGTCTGTCTGTCTCTGTCTCTGTCTCTGTCTCTGTCTCTGTCTCTGTCCCTGTCTCTGTCTCTGTCTCTGTCTCTGTCCCTGTCTCTGTCCCTGTCTCTGTCTCTGTCCCTGTCTCTGTCTCTGTCTCTGTCTCTGTCTCTGTCCCTGTCCACAGTCCCTGCTGTCTGTCCTGCAGGCAGCCATCAGTAACCAGCAGCAGTCTGTGATCAGCAGCAGGTTGGAGGACATCAAGAGGACCATGGAGAACAAACAGGTAAACATTCTGTGTTCATCAGTCTCAGAACCAGAACCTAGTTCTGCTCTAGTTCTGGTTCTGGTTCTGGATCTGTCCCCTGCAGGTGTCTCCAGATGAGGTTTGTTGTCTCCTGTCCTCCACTCATGAAGACATCTCAAAGCGCTGTCAGTACCTGGACTACAGTCTGGTAGGTCTCTTCTGGTCTTCATGGTCTCTCTCGGACCCTCCAGAACCTCTCTGACGTCAGGATGTGTTTGTGTGTTCAGAACTCTGCGGTTCAGGACAGCCTGGTTCTGTCGGCTCATCCTGAATCCAGGAAGCAGGTCAGACTGTCCACTCAAAGCGGGTCGCTGCAGCTGAGCAGAACCGGAGTGGACTTTTATGAAGACCCTGTTGTTGGGGTGGTCCGGTCCGTTACAGCACCGACCTCTGCAGGAAGTTAAAGTTCTGAAGAACCAACTGGGTCAAAACATGTCTTCTTTAAACCCTCCAGGTTCTCTTTGGTCCAGGATCCTGGAGCAGAAAACACTCAGAGAAGAAGAACACCAGCTGGTAAACAACGACAAACAACAACAACAACAACAACAACAACAACAACAAAAACAACTACAACAAACACACAACAACAAACAACAATAAACAACAAAAACAACTACAACAAACAAATAACAACAAACAACAATAAACAACAAAAACAACTACAACAAACACACAACAACAAACAACAATAAACAACAAAAACAACCACAACAAACAAACAACAACAACAAACAAACAACAACAAACAAACAACTACAAACAAACAAACAACAACAAACAAACAACAACAAACAAACAACTACAAACAAACAAACAACAACAACAAACACCAACTACAACAACTGCAACAAACAAACAAACAGCAACATCAACAAAATCTACAACAAACAAACACAACAACAACAAACAACAACAAAAAACAACAACTGCGACAAATAAACAAAAAACAACAAATAGCAAAACCACAAAAAACAAATACAACAAACAATGACCATAACAATTAAGTACAACAAATAACAACAACAAACTACAACAAACAAACAAATAAACAACAACCACAACAAACAAACAACAGCAACAACATACAACAAACAACAACAAAAACTACAACAAACAAACAACAAACATTAACTACAACAAACAAACATCAACCACAACAAACAAGTACAATAAATAACAAACAAACAGCAACTGCAAAAGACAAACAACAACACACTAACAACAGCAAACAACAACAAACAACAACTACAACAAACAAAAAACAAAAAACAACATACAACAACAAACAACAACTACAAAAAACAAACAAATAAACAAGAACCAACAACAAAAACTACAACAAACAAACAAACAACAAACATTAAATAGAACAAACAAACAACAACCACAACAAACAAGTACAACAAATAACAACAAGCAAACAAGTACAAAAAACAAACAACAAGCTAACAACAGCAAACTACAATAATAACCAATAAACAACAACCACAACTTACAAAATCAAACAACAACAACAACAAACATCCTGTGGTTCTGACTGCAGTTCTGCAGTTTTGGATCAACACTTCCTGTTTTTATTTGTTGAGTTGTTTTTCTTGCAGCTGGTTCTGTTTCAGCTCAGAGTTCGGTCCAACATCAGCAGATGAGCATCAGCACCCAGAGGTAAACGGATCCACTGGTACCAGAACCAGAACCTAATCTTCATGATTTAATAACTGAGGCTGACCCAGTGGTTCTGATAGCAGAACTCTGGTACCGAGTTGTAGATGTGTCCATCAGAATGTTTGTTTTTGTTTGTGTGTTTTGTTGTCATCATGAGGAAAGGCAGCAGGCCCGCCAGAACCGACATCAGAACTGAGAAAAGGTTCCAGATCTTTGGATCCAAACAGGAAGCAGAGCTGAGCCCACAGTGAGTCACATGATGGGGTTTGGTTCTGGGTCAGTCTGTGAGGCAGCAGAACTCGGACTGAACCGCAGAGCATGATGGGAAATCATTTGGACAGAACCAGTAGTCTGGGTTTCAGAACCGACCGTCCTGACCCACAACAAACAACAACAACAACAACAACAACAACAACAAACCTAACAAGTTATTGAACTGTTTTCTCTCAGATCTTTCAGCTCAACTCTGCAGTCCATCCTGTGGACCACCAACGACACGGTCCTGCAGCTCTCTGAGGTACCTGAGACACACCTGGAATAACCCGAGACACCTGGACTAACATGAGACACCTGGACTAACCTGAGATTCACCTGCACTAACCTGAGACTCACCTGGACTAACCTGAGACTCACCTGGACTAACCTGAGATTCACCTGCACTAACCTGAGATTCACCTGCACTAACCTGAGACACACCTGGACTAACCTGAGACTCACCTGGACTAACCTGAGACTCACCTGGACTAACCTGAGATTCACCTGCACTAACCTGAGATTCACCTGCACTAACCTGAGACACACCTGGACTAACCTGAGACTCACCTGGACTAACCTGA